CAGCAGCTTGTCGAGCGGCCTCTTCCTCTTCAGCTATTCTTGCTGCTTCTGCAGCGGCTGCCTCTTCAGCAAGTTGTCTCGCCGCCTCTTCTTCAGCAGCTTTTCGAGCGGCCTCTTCCTCTTCAGCCATTCGCGCCGCTTCTGCAGCGGCTGCCTCTTCAGCAAGTTTTCTCGCCGCCTCTTCTTCAGCAGCTTGTCGAGCGGCCTCTTCCTCTTCAGCCATTCGCGCTGCTTCTGTGGCGGCTGCCTCGTCAGCAAGTTTTCTCGCCGCCTCTTCTTCAGCAGCTTTTCGAGCGGCCTCTTCCTCTTCAGCTATTCTCCCAGCTTCTGCAGCCGCTGCCTCTTCAGCAAGTTTTCTCGCCGCCTCTTCTTCAGCAGCTTTTCGAGCGGCCTCTTCCTCTTCAGCCATTCGCGCAGCTTCAGCTCCGGCTGCCTCGTCAGCTAGTTTTCTCGCCGCCTCTTCTTCGGCAGCTTGTCGAGCAGCCTCTTCCTCTTCAGCCATTCTCGCTGCTTCTGCAGCGGCTGCCTCTTCAGCAAGTTTTCTCGCCGCCTCTTCTTCAGCAGCTTTTCGAGCGGCCTCTTCCTCTTCAGCTATTCGCGCCGCTTCTGCCGCGGATGTCTCTTCAGCAAGTTTTCTGGCCGCCTCTTCTTCAGCAGTTTTTCGAGCGGCCTCTTCCTCTTCAGCTATTCTCGCTGCTTCGGCAGCGGCTGCCTCTTCAGCAAGTTTTCTCGCCGCCTCTTCTTCAGAAGCTTTTCGAGCAGCCTCTTCCTCTTCAGCCATTCTCGCTGCTTCTGCGGCGGCTGCCTCGTCATCAGCTTGTCGAGCGGCCTCTTCCTCAGCAGCTTGTCGAGCGGCCTCTTCCTCTTCAGCTATTCTCGCTTCTTCTGCAGCGGCTGCCTCTTCAGCAAGTTTTCTCGCCGCCTCTTCTTCAGCAGCTTTTCGAGCGGCCTCTTCCTCTTCAGCCATTCTCGCCTCTTCTGCTTTTCTGGCCGCCTCTTCCTCAGCAGCTTGTCGAGCGGCCTCTTCCTCTGCAGCTATTCTTGCTGCTTCTGCAGCGGCTGCCTCTTCAGCAAGTTGTCTCGCCGCCTCTTCTTCAGCAGCTTTTCGAGCGGCCTCTTCCTCTTCAGCCATTCTCGCTGCTTCTGCGCTGGCTGCCTCGTCAGCAGCTTGTCGAGCGGCCTCTTCCTCAGCAGCTTGTCGAGCGGCCTCTTCCGCTTCAGCTATTCTTGCTGCTTCTGCAGCCACTGCCTCTTCAGTGTCAGCAAGTTTTCTCGCCGCCTCTTCTTCAGCAGCTTTACGAGCGACCTCTTCCTCTTCAGCCATTTGCGCCGCTTCTGCAGCGGCTGCCTCATCGGCAAGTTTTCGCGCTGCCTCTTCTTCAGCAGCTTGTCCAGCGGCCTCTTCCTCTTCAGCCAGACTGGCTGCCTCTGCAGCGGCTGTTCTCGCGGCTTCCTTTTCAACAGCAACATCTCCAGCAGCTTCTTCTGCAGTAGCTTTCCGGGCTGCCTCCTCTGCCTCTGCCCCTATCCTTGGACTTCGCACAGCGAGCCACATAAACCGCCAGTATGGCTTGGGCAGTTTGCTCGCGATTTTCAGGGACGTGTCTTTGCAAGACCGCACGAACAGTGACTTCTGAACGGTGACGGAGCTTTAAATTCAAACAGCATTATCGCGAATGTCCAACAGTGATCCGGAAAGGACCACATCAACGGAGACAAAGATTGTGAACAACAGCCGGTATCGCATTGAACCAACCCGATGACGATTCCCTTGGTCCGAGGCTACAGACCCAGGAATCCAACCGGAGGGGACCCTGTCGCGACTGTGAAAACACGATTCGTTCAAAGAAGTTCAAATTGACACCGTGCACTGCTCGCAGTGTTTGCAGACAAGCCTCCTCGCCGCGGCTTCCTCTGCCACGTTCGCTTGTGGACCTGCATGCTCCTGTCCACAAACTTACGAGGTTGCTGGTGTGTGGCATGCCCGTAAGTACGAGCATTAATGCCATCGCCCAGTCGGGCATTCAATCAGGTTCAGGAACTCGTCCGAAACACATGTCGTGAATGAAAACAAAACTTGCTTGAAACTGAGCAGGCAAAGTGCAAACTGGCCTGCAGAGGTCTGAAACGAGTCAGAGGCAGGAAGCCCATAGGCGGATGGAGTGCAAGAGTGTGTCCGACTGAGTCTAAAAGAATCGAGGTTAGGTAGGTCTTCTTCAGTCTTCGAGATGCGCTTTCTGCTCTGCACCCTCTTCAGCTGGAAGAGCAGGTTGCAAGACTTCGCTGGTACAAAGTGAAGTACCTGGTTGTAGCTAGGTGGCTCTATTGCTTTCATGGACGTTCTGAACCCGCTTGCCCTGCTGCTGAAGCTCCTCCGCTTCAGGCACCGTCTGCCCGTTGACTGGCTGATTGGACCTCAGAGCTCCAAGTGCGGAGCGAAATCTTCGGATCTTATAATCCATGACGGGCTTCGTGCTGCCCAGGATATTCATGTGATCAGCAATCATACAGATGAAGGGGCCATCTGCCTAATTTTGATATTGCAAGACCGTGGCTAATTGGGTCAATCTAAGGTGGACTAGCTGACTATCTCAGCTACGGGAAACCACTTACATGGACGACTTGCTCACACCAAACGCTTGCATAGACGGTAGGCTGGTGGTTTGTGTGATGTTACACGCCCTGGCAAAATGCGTGGGCTTAAACATGTTCAAACTCTGGACTCCTGACACGAAATGCCCCCATCGGCAGAATCCGTTAACCGGTTGGCAGTGGTTTGGTTAACGATGTCCAGTCTGAACAGGTGCAACTGAAAGCTTCATGTAATAAGAGCGACCACTCAGCCCCACTTGCAGTTGACACACCGCTTACAGAATTTGGACGAGTTGCTCAGCTGACTTACATGATGTGTCTGTTAAGGTAGAAGAACAACAAATGGCTAGGGACCTGGTACCGCTGTCTCGTCACTTCCTTTACTAACCAGGGCGACCCTCCAGCTACAGGTCTTACCGCTTTGGATCACGGCTTCTGGCTTCTGCGCTTGTTTCATGAAGCCAGACAGTGTGCTGCTACTTCTGACCGTGCACATAGATTTAATGTAGCAGCAGAAGCTGCGGATTTGGGGTTTGCGATCTGTCTCCTGAAGCGAAGCAGCATCCCTTGACACAGGTTGAAAATGTCGGACATGGCATTCCTTTGACCACTCCCGCAAGGCGTTCCGGTATTCTGGAAACGATGTTTTTTCTGGGCTACTGCAACACCTTTAACAACTTTAACGTGTTCTGCTACTGCCGACCTCCATGCGAGCGGTTGCGGGCTAGTTTTTTGAATGTTGCAAAGTCTCAAAAGCCAGTTGTCGGCACAGGCCCAATTCGGCAGGCCTACACTGGACGTGCTCGACCGAAAGAAGGGCTGAACTGAAGACGTAAAAAGTCCCTTGATCACCAAGCACAGAACGCCTCTGTTATAAACACGGGGGGGGGGTGTGCGAACCTCAGGGTGTAACCTGACGAATACGCCGAAGGGCTCTTCTCCACGATCAGCCAATGCCTGCATGAGTTTCACATCTCTCGTTGTTTCTAACAGTTCTTGCTCTTTCGAAGTATAACAAATGTGTTCATGCTGCTGACGACAAGCGGATGAGCAAGCAACATCGTCAAGCATGATGAGCAAAGAACCATCACCGGCCTCACTGTTGGCTGCAACGTCAGCATCCGAACCAGCAGACTCATCACCCAACCATCATCACTGTCGCTGTCATCAACTGCCTGTGAGCAAGCGCCACATCCCTGGAGCTACCAAAACCTACATCTCTGTGGAGTCCCTATAATACCTGTAAATTGCAATGCTTCAACTCTATACCGGGGTTACAAGAGTCAGAACCTACAACAAAAAGTAGGTCATGGCAGCTTAAGGTGATCATCACCGCCATCATTCGCAGTCACCATCCAGAGCCCGCAGAAGCAGTATGGGTAGAGTTGTTGCCCAGTTTCCTCGCCACCCTGCAGAACTTTCGATGAAGGCTTGCAAAGGCTCCAGCTCTTTGAGCCGGATTAGGAAGAACAGGAAAAGACTGTTTGGTCCTATGTGTTGCAAGGAAGAGCACAAACAACAAACACAAACAATTCAGCTTGTACGACAAACACCGACCACATGGCTATATGGTTAATACATATCATATGTATACCAATAGTTGTGCTTATGCTCGTAGTCGGCTGCGAAACTGACGAGAGTGGTCAGTACGTAGTGGAGACACGAGTCGTCTGAGTCTGCGGAGAGGCGCCAATCGGTACAAACTTCTTGGGGACTTGAAAAGCCAAAAAAAGTAGCGCATGGCCGCGCAGATCACTGAGATTCAGAACAGCTACCAGCTACCTTGGGTCTCCAGAAAAGGGCTTGCTTGGAATAACTCACGCAAGGCCCCGTGGCTGCGAAAGGAATCAGAGAAGTGAAAGCCTGAAGGATGCTTTATATATGTATATATATACACATATATCTATATCTATACATATATATATATACACTTTTTTATAGACACATATGTATATATATATATATACACATATAGACATATATATATATATATATATACAAGTCCATCCTGAAATCTCAACCTTCGAAAGTCTCACAGTAGATGCCTCATCAAACGAGCGCTCGACCTTCTCGCGTAGGCCCTGGAGTCCTTCCTGGAGCCAAGAAGGAGCCCAACGAGGAGGGAACCCCTGCAGCTATACTATACTATATACTATATACTAAACTATAAACTATAAACTATAGACTATATACTATATACTGTATACTGTATACTGTATACTATATACTCTATACTATACTATACTATACTATACTATACTATACTATACTATACTATACTATACTATACTATACGATACTACACTAGGCTATACTGACTGCCCTTAACGAGAGTCTGGCTGAAAGGGACGACATTTACGATAATTTCACAAGTGCAAGAGTGCAAGGTGGCGAAAGCAAAAGACAAGGCTCCTCACTCCTTGGAGCTGCTTGAAACAAATCCCACAATCCCGGGGATGAACCCGAAACACTCTTTCGGCTGAAGCTGCGGCCGCCCCTCGGAAGGATTGCCTCGGCTAAGTGCTCTAGCAGCTAGGGGCCCTGTCGCCTAGTCTCGATCTATTGAGTTTTCCTGGGCAAACACCACACATGTGAGACGGCTTGGTGTGAGATTCTCTTGACCACCTTTGACCGCCCCGGCCCGACTTCAATTCAAGCAACTTGACACTCACGTGGATGCCTTTTTAAGGGACCCTTCGTGGGCACCCAAATCGCCTCTTGTGAGCGCTTGTAGGAAGGTGTGACACTGTGTTTCCCTGCATTCTGCCTCACTCGACCGTGCTTTAAGTCTTTCATTTCGGGCTGTGCTTCGGAGCTGCACGTCCTTCTTTATACGAAGAAATGTGTACATCGTGCTTGCAGCTCCCTATAGTCCCTATAGCATACTGTCAGGGCCTCAATCATTCGAAGAGGTTTGGGGGGCGTAATATCGCGTGAGCCTATCACTAGGGAGCCCTCAGCAACCGTCTTCGTACTTATTCGGGCCCCTCAAAGAGTATTTGGCTGGCGTTGACAGGGCTCAAACATCAAATGGTTGTGGTTGACTGGATTTCTTCATACGATTTTTCTGAACCGAAATCCTCTTGTGCATGCTCAACTCAGTTGAAAGCCTGGCATGGTGAAGCCTCAGTCCAGAAGCCGAGGTCACCGACCCCTGAAATGTGCAGTTTTGCAGTGTTTCTCAGTCGTTGAGGCTCACGACACGACCGATAGAACTGAGGCCGCCCTACATCATCGAAGAAACAGTCGGCGTCGGCTTAAACTCCTAAGTGCCCACATTGCCAGACTGGAAGTTGGCGGAAAAAGCAGGCTAACTTGCCCCCGTCCCGCCATGCATCCTGGTGGCAGCGCCGATGTGGAGGTCAGAGCCCCCAGGCCCCCGAAGAGACCCCAGCCGGCTCCCTCCTTTCTGATGGTTTTGGACAGCAGAAGCTTCGGCTTTAAGGAGATCGGCGGGCCCAAGCGTTTTTTTAGCAGGGTTCTGAAGGAAGGCTCTCCGTTGTTCTTTCTGGCAAAGCTGAAGAAGCCGCTTCTGACTCATATGAGCTTGGGTTGCACGAGCACAGAACTGAGGCGAGTCTTTCTCATGCTGCGTAGCCAAACATTGAGCAACATGCACGTAATTATTGTTAAGTCTTTAAAAAGGCACAGTGCCAACTGGGGAGATGTTTACTCTTAACATTAGACGTCCCTGTGCTTTTGTGTGAACCATCTTTGAGACATGTCCGTCTGCATGACCACACGAATGTGACACATAGCACATCAAACTGTCTTCGGGGATTTCGGGCGAAGCAGTTCAGAGCACCACCGACGTATAGGCAAGGTCTGTTAGCTACACATTTAAACTCTGCACCAAATGGGCTTATGGCAACCATATGGCCAATGGCCACCAATGACAAAATAGTAGCCAAAACCATTCGAGTGTTTGTACGTATACATAAATTACGAAACGCAGGTGAATGT